ATTTTATATTAAGCATGGCTTAATACGATGATATGATAACAAATCAGATATATACGGGGTGTTACATAAAGGTTTTTCAAGCACCCGTGAAGCTTAACCGTTAGTGAAAAGTTTGATTGAGCTACTTCAATATGGAGATAGGTCACAAGTGGAAGTAACCGAATCAGGATAAGTAGTTTTTGCAATCTTCTAAACCTTTAACTCCTATTGTTTCAGCATTATAAGTGCTACTTTAATATCTTGTATATGCTACAATCGGTTCTATAATTGTGATATATAATATGTTATGGATTGCTTATATGTATTAGTTATCTTTTCATATATCAAAGTTTACTTAAATGATTATTCAGAAACAAAAAGGGGATTTTGTAAAAATATTATAATACTCAATTGACCCCCCTCTTGAGTATGGAAGTCACATTTCTAACAAGTGGTATCAGAGCTTAGTGCTCTGTTAGAGGCTTAACTGCCTAGAGTTAAAGATTCTTGTTGTGGCTACCATTATAAAAATTGTAAATAGAAGGTTTTGAATGTGATAAAGCACTATTCTTTGATGGTGATGAATTTGATTATTGGATGAGAAGAATGAAAGTTTTTATGGAATTAATTCATATTTATATATGGCATGTTGTAGATAAAGGCTCCTTATTGAAAATAGAAGAATGCATAATAAAAGATGTTTTGTCTTCTTGCAAATGGATAGAAAAAGTTAGTGTGATGATGCATATGCCAAGATCAAATATTATAAGAGTTTGTAAAGATATATGGGATACTGTTGTTGCTATGTATGTTGCTAACGATAACTTTGTGCATGAAGATGTATATAGAGAGCAAATAGAGAAAAACCTACTAGAGGAAGATAATCTTGACAAAAATACTCAAAAACGAATTGACAGTAATCAAGTATACTTAAAACCTTAATTAGTATGAAGATGATGACATTCAACTTAGGGTAAAAAATTATGAACTTGATTATATTCCTCCGCATGATAATTTTCAATGTGCGTATGATGATTTGAATGATAGCTTGTTGAATTTCCAAAATAGAAATTTGGCTTCTCTACAAAGCATTTTCATCATTGAAAATGTATATGATTTTCAAGAAGAGAAAATATCCTTGAATTGTGAATTCTCAGTCATTCTTGAAAATTGCATTGATTTTGATAATCAAGTTGAGCAATTATCATCCAAACTTTCCGTAGTTGACAATCCTACATATTCATATTCCATGTTTGAAAATGAAAATAAGAGTAATACTTTTGTACATGGAACACCTATAAATGGTTATGAAAATAACAGTTTGGACAATGATAATTGCCACGATAATTTTGCTACAATACAACTAAGGCTAACTTTTATTGAGCCATGCATGGCTCGTCCGCGCGACTAGTCAGGTATGACTTTTTGAATGAAATTTAGCCACGATTTAATTGTGGGTAATTTTGTTTGAACCACTTGGAAAACATCGATTGGTCCAATGCTTGATGCTCACCAGCAAGTGTACCGATCGCACAAGTAATACAGTGATAAGAAAAGTATCGTCTCCATAGAGATTGTGATCAAATATCAAATAATCGTTCCTTTTAAGACAGAAAAAGATCAAATAGATGTGACAAAATATTATGGATTTGAGTAATAATAAGAACTAAGATAAAAACATATTTTTGGAATTTTGTTATGAAAAATAGAGCAAAGATTGATTTTATAAAATATAAGAAGGCATTGTAGCTAGAGTGCACTCACCATATGATCTCACCTTTTACTCTGGATTGATTTAAAATACTCATTTAAATAAATACTCAGATAATTTATCATCTAAAAATCATTAAATAGTTAACCTTCAATCCCTTGCAAGGTTAACCTTTTAACCCCAATTGAAACCTCAATTACTTGCGATGTTTCTCATGAAATTAAGCAATAAGCACGATAAATTAAACATCTGCAATGTTATATACGTCTATTTCTAGCACACATACAAATTGTTATCCTACTCCCTTTCAAGATCAAAAACCCCAATATTCCTATCTAGGGTTTTTACCCTCAAACTATCATCAACTATTAAATTGATCAATTCTAACAAAGAAGATATTACGCATAGAGTAAAGATAATATAAATATATAAAAGAGTAATTATAAACCAATTCGTTGTAACAAGGGTTCACATAGGGTTTGTGACCCTAACTACAATAAAGAGTACTAGCCAACCATAATCATGGCTAACATAAAATTATAAAAGATAAAGATGAAATAATGTAATTACAAAAAGAAGACTAAGAACAATCCTATGTTCCTCTCCTCCTTTTGGAATCCTTGTTTTTCTCTGTCGTCGAAAAGTTTTTTGAATAAACCCTCACAACGTTCTTTTTATAATCTTGGTTTGCTTCTGCCAAAATTTCCATTTCAGAACACGGTGATTTTTCTCGCAAACTGGCGTGGGATCGCGCCACTATGGCGTGGAACCACGCCACTTCTCTGGAATGTAGAACTGCAACCTAACTGGCGCAGGATCGTGCCACAATGGCGCCAGATCGCGCCACTTCTCTGGTAAGTAGCCCAGGGGAATCTGGTTGGTGCAGGATCGCGCCATAGTGGCGCCAGATCGCGCAACTTTTCTGGAAAATTGCCCAGGTCTTCACGGTGCAGCTCAAAACCCAAGCCCGTGCAGATTCGCGCCAACAGTCTTTTGAAATTTCGTTTTCTCTTTCTTTCTCCCTATATAAAAACACAACAAATAGGTGAGAAATATCATTGAAATTGAAAAGTCAACATAATAAGCAAATATGTAAATAAACTGTTCTTTTATGACTTAATCCTTATCATTTTTAGCTTGGAAAACTTCATATGCCAGAGGCACATCAAACCATTCCCAGATTTAGAAAATTCCTGTCCCCAGCAATGTACAAGACTCAATCCAGGAAACAATTAATTAATCTAGCATAACAATACATAGACACTCTCAGACACACTATACTAAGCACGACTGATCCAATATCACAATTTTCCAACAATGTCATCAGCTTCTTAAAGATACGAGTCTACATTGATTAACCCTCTCAAAGATAAATAATATTCACTCAACACTCAGTGTTTTAGGGTATCATGAGCACTCAATCCAACACAGCTATAACACTACCATAAGCTTGATCATATTCTCAAAATTCTTTAAAATGAAGAATCAAACACATGCACCAGTTGATCAAAAGGACTTCACATGTTGTATCTTGGTCGGGTTAAAAGGGTATGAATATATGGAGAGTAGCTCAAACAACAATGAGATTGAAAAACTGATACTCTTCCAATTTAGCATATTCAGCTCAATGGTTTTGCTCCACTAACATTCCCACAGAATTTTGGGAATTAATTCCTTTCAGCCACCTTTTATGCATATTTGTCCCTTCTTCTTTTTCTTTTTTTTATTATAATAAGGGTACAAATGAAATATACATCCCTAAATCACTTAACCTTTGTGGAGGTTACCTCAATTTCTTTGTTTATTTTCAACACATCAGTAATTCAATCTCAATCAGGGTGAGTCACATGGATGTAAGCTAAGCCACCAATCAGGCCAACGGGTCATTTATCAACAAAATAAGCTCAAGCTCAAGGGGCTAACAATGGAAAAATTTCATACAGGTGGACTATTTTGGCCATAGGCTAATAAGAACAAAATGTCTTTATCATCTCAACCAATGCATGCATTACAGAGAAACAGATCAAGTTCTGGAGTGTTACAACAGTGAGGTCTCTCAACAAGAAAATTCAGTGTTTAAGCTCAAACCTCACAGCTATGGTATCAATGTAGACTCAAGAAAATTAACCTCAGACATTATCAAAATTTCACAACATCAATTCAGACAAACGAGCAATCATGTAATCCAATTATACATATGCAATGTCATGCCATAATGTCACACAACATACTTCCTAAGATTCAATCAAGCAAGTTAATTGGGTAAGCACATTTAAACCTGAGAATTCCTTAAGAAATATATTTCCAAAAAAATTTATTTATTTATTTATTATTTTATTTTATTTTTATTTTTATCTAAGAGCAACACAAACCAACAACTAACTAAAAATAGAATGTAAAGAATTTAGAATATCTCCCCTGATAAAAGGAATTGCAGTTCCAGAATACTTTTCCAAAGCTTACCATTCCCAGATTTAAAGAATTGCTATCCCCAGCAATATTTAAACCCAAAGATTAACGAAATATAATAAATCTCCGACAGCAAGGAGATATCACTCGTCCTCATCGTCACTCTCTCAGCAGCATGGGATGACTCAGCAGATGGAGGAGCTGGTGGTTTCCTGGGCCTCCGCAGAAACAAACCGAAAATCATCAAAAGATACAGAAGCAAAAGTCTTAGCCCTTTTGGTACCGCCGGTTTTTTTATTTTAGACTTTCCAGCTTGTGAACCCTGAAAACCAGAAAAATTTCCCATGCACAGAATATGACAATAGGGCAATTAGATCACAAGTAATCAAGCCAGAAGTATAAAGCAAACCACCATTCCCAGATTTGATTGCAACTTTATCTCAAAAATAAGACAGAACAAAGCAACAGTTGGAATCAAATTCAGAAAACAACATGTCAATGCATCTTAGCATACAACTCAGCATTTTAATCTAGATAGTCAACATAGCAAGACGTTCAAAGGAAACAAATAACTAACTAGAAAATAAAATAAAATAAACTCTACATTGGGTTGCCTCCCAATGAGCGCTTGTTTAACGTCACGAGCCTGACGGTTACCTCTTTCAAGTATTGTTTTCTTTGAGAGACAGAGTCTCGGTGTCTCTCTCACAGGTCCTCCTTTTGGTGGCATTCAAACTTCGGTAATCCACACACATCCTCCAACCAGTTATAATTCTGGTCGGAATTAGTTCATTTTTTTCGTTGTGGACCGCAGTGATGCCTTCTTTCTTCGAAACAGTCTTCACTGGACTTACCCAACCAGTATCTGAAATCGGGTAAATTATACCAGCATCAAAAAGTTTCACACTTCTTTTCTCACCACCTCCTTCATTGTAGGATTAAGCCTCCTTTGAGGTTGCCTTACTGGTCTGACATCATCCTCCATGAGAATTTTATGAGTACAAAATGAGAGATTTATACCCTTCAAATCAGAAATAGACCACCCTATGGCAGTCTTATGGTTCTTCAGCACCTCTGTCAACCTCATTTCCTGCTCTTCAGACAACCCTTTATTAATGATGACAGGATAAGTCTCCTCATCACCCAAGAAGATGTATTTAAGAGTTTCAGGCAACTCCTTTAACTCTACTTTTGGGGCTCCATCTTCTTTGTCAGAGTCCTTCTTCTCAAGAACCTCAAACACAACACTCTTTTCTTCCTTAAAAGGAACAATATCATGTGCCTCAAGTTCTTTTTCAAGGTCTTGACTAAAATATTTCTCTTCTTCTACCACTTTATCTAAAACATCAAGTCTAAAACAATCGCCTTTGTCAGAAGATTGTTTCATAGAGTCAAAGACATTGATGGTAATAGTGTCATCATTCATCCTTAACTCAAGCTTCCCGTTTTCAATATCAATCATGTCCCGAGCAGTAGCCAAGAAAGGTCTACCCATCAAAAGAGGCATTTCAGTTCCCTCTTCCATGTCCAATACCACAAAATCTGCTGGAAAGATGAACTTGTCCACTTTAACCAGGACATCTTCAACAATCCCACTAGGCCTCCTCAAAGATCTATCAGCAAGTTGAAGAGAGACCATAGTGGGTTTCAATTCAAAAATTCCCAGAGATTTACAAACAGACAATGACATCAGATTTATACTTGCCCCAAGATCACACAAGGCTTTGCCGACATCAGTATTACCAATAGCAATTGGAATGTTGAAGCTCCCTGGATCACGAAGCTTGGGAGGAAACTTCTTCTGTATTATGGCACTACACTCCTCAGTGAGGGTTACCGTCTGACATTCTTGCAACTTGTGTTTTCTTGATAAAAGGTTCTTCATAAACTTGGCATAATTGGGCATATTAGCCAAGGCTTCAGCAAATGGAATATTAATGTGAAGCTTTTTGAAAATATCAAGGAACCTGGCATATTGCTGCTTCTGGACATCCTGCTTGAATCTTTCAGGATAAGGTGCCATAACTCTCATATACTCAGGACTCAATTCATGATTCTTTTCAGCAGTCACATTCTTTCCTTTTTCAATTTCTTTTTCAGCTGGCTTCACTACTTCAGCAGGTTTTTCAATTTCCTTTTCAGGCTCACCCGCCTCATCAAGTCTCTTATCAACTTCAGGAGATGAAAGTACTTTGCCACTTCTAGTTGTAATGGCCAAACAATCTTCCTTCGGATTAGTAACTGCGTTACTAGGAAAAGTACCTGGAGTTCTATCAACAATTTTCTTAGCTAGTTGGCCAATTTGATTCTCCAAATTTCTGATAGATACATTTGTGTTTTTGGTATTGGCTCTAGTCTCCTCCATAAAAGCACTAGAATGTTGAGCCATTTGTCCTACTAGCTTCTCCAAATCAGAAGATTCCTTAGACTGGATTGGTGGGGGCTGAAAATAGTTGTTAGACTTGAAATCAAGACCAGTTCCCTGCACCCTCTTCTGAAAATTATTACTTCCAGAAGGAAAATTCTGATTTCTTGAAATATTTTGCGGCGGAGGTCTTTGATCATACCAAATTCCATTCACCTGCATTTGTTGAGGAGGATCAGAAGACAGCAAAGAAGGACATTCATTAGACTCATGATTGTCCTGGCAGTATTCACACACAACCGCAACAGCTTTAGCCTGAACACCAGAAAGTTGCATCTTATCAAGCCTCAAAGTCAGATTTGCCATTTGCTGAGATAATAGCTTATTTTCAGCCAACACAACATCATTACCTTCCAGCTGAAGAATACCTCTCTTAGGCTTAGATGACAACCCTTCATTTTCATTGGCGGCCATTCTCGCAATCAGCTCAAGAGTCTCATTTGCTCTCAAAGATTTAATAGTACCACCCGCGGCACCATTCAAAACTATCTGAATGTCAGGTTTACAACCGTTGAAGAAGATTCTCACTTGGTTGCCAGCAGTCAAGTTATAATAAGGACATCTCCTCATTAAATCCTTGAATCTGTTCCAAGCTCCACACATAGTTTCACCCTTTGATTGAGTGAAATTGGTGATATCGTTCACCATCTGATTGTATCTCTCCATCGAGAAGAACTTAGCAAAGAACTTCTGAGATAAATCATCCCATGTAGGAAGCTAAGTGAAGGATGCCTTTCCAACCAACTGAGAGCCTTTCCCTTAACAGCAAAAGGAAATAATCGCAACCGGATTGCATCATTGGACACCTGAGGATGTTTAGTTGTGTCACAGACCATAAGAAATCTGTCTATGAATCTATGAGGATCTTTATTCTCCTCTCCTCCAAACTGGGCTCTCTCCACCAATTGATTAGTGAAAGACTTTAGCTCCCAATTATTGTTACTAATTACCGGATGAACAATGCTTGAGTTCGGCCTATTGAAAGCTGGAGTAAGAATAATATCCATGAGTGGATTTCCTTCATCATTGTTTGCTGCCATGATTGGTACTTCAATTGGTATCTCATGTGTCTCTTCAGATAGAGTACCAAACTCTTTGAATTCAAGCTTTTTCTGAGGGAGTTTTCTATTCCTCCTTTCGGTCTTTGTAATCTCAGGATCAAACAGAAATTCTACAGTTTTACCTCGCATACAACTCAGGAAAGAGATTAGTAGCACTTTTCAAATAACATCAAAATAATAAAAAAATAAAAATAAAAATATTCACAAAATCCAATCTTAAAGATCAAGATTATATGATATCAGAAACGCCAATCCCCGGCAACAGCACCAAAAACTTGATGCTCACCGACAAGTGTACCGATCGCACAAGTAATACAGTGATAAGAAAAGTATCATCTCCACAGGGATTGTGATCAAATATCAAATAATCGTTCCTTTTAAGACAGAAAGAGATCAAATAGATGTGACAAAATATTATGGATTTGAGTAATAATAAGAACTAAGATAAAAACGTATTTTTAGAATTTTGCTATGAAAAATAGAGCAGAGATTGATTTTATAAAATATAAGAAGACATTGTAGCTAGAGTGCACTCACCATATGATCCCACCTTTTACTCTGGATTGATTTAAAATAATCATTTAAATAAATACTCAGATAATTTATCATCTAAAAATTATTAAATAGTTAATCTTCAATCCCTTGCAAGGTTAACCCTTTAACCCAATTGAAACCCCAATTCCTTGCGATGTTTCTCATGAAATTAAGCAATGAGCACGATAAATTAAACATCTGTAATGTTATATACGTCTATTCGTAGCACGCATACAAATTGTTATCATACTCCCTTTCAAGATCAAAAACTCCAATATTCTTATCTAGGGTTCTTACCCTCAAACTATCATCAACTATTAGATTGATCAATTCTAACAAAGAAGATAGAAATTACGCACAGAGTAGAGATAATATAAATATATAAAAGAGTAATTATAAACCAATTCGTTGTAACAAGGGTTCACATAGGGTTTGTGACCCTAACTACCATAAAGAGTACTAACCAACCATGATCATGACTGACATAAAATTATAAAAGATAAAGATGAAAGAATGTAATTACAAAAAGAAGACTAAGAACAATCCTTTGTTCCTCTCCTCCTTCTGGAATCCATGTTTTTCTCTGTCGTCGAAAAGTTTTTTGAATAAACCTTCACAACGTTCTTTTTATAATCTTGGTTCGCTTCTTCCAAACTTGCCCTTTCAGAACACAGTGATTTTTCTCGCAAACTGGCGCGGGATCGCGCCACTATGGCGCGGAACTGCGCCACTTCTCTGGAACGTAGACCTGCAACCTAACCAGCGCAGGATCGCGCCACAATGGCGCCAGATCGCGCCACTTCTCTGGTAAGTGGCCTAGGAGAATCTGGTTGGCGCAAGATTGCGCCATAGTGGCGCCAGATCGCGCCACTTTTCTGGAAAATGGCCCAGGTCTTCACGGTGCAGCTCAGAACCCACGCCCATGCAAATTCGCGCCAACAGTCTTTTGAAATTTCGTTTTCTCTTTCTTTCACCCTATATAAACACAACAAATAGGTGAGAAATATCATTGAAATAGAAAAGTCAACATAATAAGCAAATATGTAAATAAACTGCTCTTTTATCACTTAATCCTTATCATTTTTAGCTTGGAAAACTACATATGCCAGAGGCACATCAATGCTCAAACGCACCCCTATGCCATGTGCAACTCGAACGTGCAACTTTTAAATGCGCATTTAAATGCATTATTTTGGTAAATCTTTTTTATTTTGAATTATTTTAATTTTTTTTTGAAAAAATGCTTTTGTATGTTCAAAATCCCTATTCGACAGCATCTATTGAGATGTTAAGTTCCATTGGGTATGGTTCATATTTTACATTTAGATGACGACTCTTATTGGTGAAATTCCGAGAAAGCAAACAGGGGTTTCGCTCCTTGGTGAAGGGACAGAGATTCGAGAGAGCCGACTTGACGAGGGTGTGGGGGCAATACCCCTAGGACATCGAAAACATGGTACTATTGTGGGCCTTGAACTTATTTTATATTATATTATTTCTTTTTTTTAGTAGTTTGAGTTTGGACTAATGAATAACTATTGTTGCTTAGAGTTTTCTAAGCTTACTTATATATTTTTTATAGACTGAGTGATTTGTAATGAGTGCCCTAAGAAAAATATAATAAATATTCTTGAATATAAACCACATTGGATGAACCAAGATTTAGCGTGTCTCTGTTTTCCCCCTTTTTCTCTTTTACTTTATGATTGTTTATGGGTGTTTGTGTTCGATCCAAAAAAAACCCCAAAAGCTAAAATCTGGGACCGGTTGTCACATGTTTAGTATTAGGTCTTGATGTCACATGGTTTTTATTTGTTTATAGTAGATTTAGATTTGTATTCTTTTCTTACCATGAGGATCTTAGAGGAAATTATAGTTTAACAGTTTACCTTAGTAAGTCTTTTGTAATAGAATAAATATCATTTTTGGTCCTCAGCAAATTTCACGACGCCTGTTTTAGTCCCTAACAAATAAAAAGGCCCACTTGTGGTCCCTAAAAAATTTAAAATGGACCTATTTAGTTGAGATTGTGGTCCTTCACAAATTCAAAAAAAACCCATATTAGTCCCTAAAAGGACTAAAATGAGTCCATTTTGAATTTCTTAGGGACCACGATGGGCCTTTTTATTTGCTAGGGACTAAAGCGGACATCGTGAGATTTGCTGAGGACCAAAAAAGATATTTACTCTTTGTAATATATGTCCTTCGCTTGTAAAGCATTTGACCCACCGTGTATTTAATGAGAATTGCCATAGAGATTAACGATTATAATTTATTGGATATATTTATAAATTAATTACTAATTTTAAATAAATTATATTTATTAGATTGACGAAAATCAACAATAATTAATTTAGTAGTAAGAGTTGTAAAACTTTTCAACAATAAATAAAACCGTCCCCTTATTACAAATAAATAAAACAAGATAAAATCATATAATTATTAAATTTAAATATGCATATTTTTATTATAAATTATTATACTATAATTTAGTTTAGATTGATACAATTTACATTATTTTTTAAGAACAAAAATCTATTTTAAAATAGGGTTATGTTTATTACATGATATAAACAATTTTCTGAGACACACAAAAATGTATTGGGTCCCACCACTCTTTTTTTTTTCTTCTTTTATCTGTAAGTCCTACTGATAATTTTATTTCTATAACATGAGATAATTTCTTTCATACGACATAAGAAAAGTATTTCTCTTTAAAATAACCTTAATTATTATGTAAAATGAAAGGCACAGACTTGGCGAAGTTGACGTGGACGGTGGACCTAACTAATAAATTATCGGACGTCCGTACTGGATAAACATGTATAGATAACGATATCTCTGTAAAACAAAAACGTAATGCCAACTAGATATTCGTTTACAGGGCCATGTTATATAATTCCTGCAGACACAACAAGGATATGGGACGCATAAGTTCTTTTTTTTTCCCCTGATCTCACTTTCTCCCTGTAGCAATGTTACTTTTATTCCCATAACATTAGGAATTCATTTTCCAAATTTTATTTATAAATTTTTTATTTATAAACTTTTACAAACGACACTATATATTTTTCGAAATGTATTTCTAACTGAATTTATTTTCGAAAATAAATAGATAAATTTATAAATATAATCTTACTCTTGTTACAATTATACCATTTCGATTTATAAGGATCGAGACAATAGCCTCATTCAAAATTCTTAGTCCCTAACCATTTCTTACAATTGCTGTTTCAAGTAACTATCGCCTAAACAGAAGAGGTTGCTAACTAGACTACAAGATTATACGTACTAAATGAACCAATGCCATATGGAAAAAGTAATAGCTAAGAGTCTATTTTTAAGCACATTTCTCAAACTACGTTTCCCTGATTATAAGAGGCCCCATCGTTGTAATAAGGGGAAAGATTTCCACTCTTAACACTAGTGGATTCGGGAGCAGTTGTTGCCTCCTGAAGCATTTTCACCACCTTTCTCATTGAAGGGCGTGTTATTGGAAGAGAGCTTGTGCAAAGAAGCCCCACACTCAGTACCTTGCTGATTTGTTCACTATATTTGGAATCTAGAATAGGATCAATCACATGGTCCAGTCCTTCTTTTTCCAACGTGGAGGAAACCCATTTTACCAGATTATTTTCTCCATACTCTGCATCAATAGGGGGTTTTCCAGTTACCAACTCCAAAATGACCACACCAAAGCTATAAATATCACTCTTCTCGTTCACCCGAAGAGTATATGCATATTCTGCACCACAATAAAGTAGCATCCATCCAGTTAAATTATAGACAAATGAAGCACATACATTAACAAATGCACAGCTTAATGATTCAGGTAGATGTTTCTTTAATATAGTATGAATTTATCAAAAACAAAAAGAACATAGCATAAAGATTGAAAATTCAATTTTAAGGTAAATTAAAATTAAAATTTCACAAACCTGGTGCAATGTAGCCATAAGATCCTGCAATCACAGACATGGATTCTGTCCCTTGGTTGACTCCTGCAACAATTTTGGCAACTCCGAAATCTGCAACTTTTGCCACAAACTCTCCATCCAGCAATATATTGTTAGATTTTATGTCCCTATGAACAATGGGTGGGACACAATCGTGATGCAAATAAGAAAGCCCCTCAGCAGCATCAATAGCAATTTTACACCTAGTTGGCCAATTCAACAAGCTTTTCTTGCTATTCTTTAACATATCACCAAGGCTCCCATTTGGCATATACTCATAAACCAGTAGCTTGTTATCACCACTGTTGCAGCAACACCACAACCTCACAATATTCTTGTGCCTAATCTTTCCTAGTGTTTCAACTTCAACATCAAATTCATCTTTTTTAGAACCAACAGTTCCCCACAATTTCTTCACTGCCACCACCTCACCATTGCTAAGCACTACCTTGTAGACCTTCCCAGATGCCCCACTTCCAATTACATTGTCTTCACTCATCAATTTCACAATCTCAAGCTCACTAAAGCCCAGCTTATGAAACGACATCCACTTTGAAATGTTAAACCCCTTTTTCAACTTGTTTAAGTTCCTGTATTTCAAGTAAAACCAGGCCATCCCAACGATGAACACAGCTCCAGCAAGCACAAATATAGAACGGAAAATCCACAAATACCTTCGGTACTTACTCTTACTCTCCCCAGAGCTTGGACAAAGCCCAGAGAGATGGCCACAGAGGCCAGGATTTCCTACAAAACTCATCCTATACCTGTCATTGGCATAAAGGGGTGGAATATCTCCAGAAAGCTTATTGTTTGACAAATTCAGCTCACCAAGCTTCAAATTTTGCAGCTGTAGAGGAATTTCACCGGAAAGGTAGTTGCAAGAAAGATCAAGAACACTAAGCACAGTCAAGCTTCCTAACTCGCTTGGAATATTGCCATTAAACCTATTATTTGCCAAATTAAGGTCAGTGAGCTTAGTCAAGTGACCAATTCCACCTGGAATTTCTCCAGAAAGTTGATTGTCACCGAGATCAAGACTAAACAACTGGCTCAATTTGACCACACTCGTCGGAATCCGGCCAGAAAGATTATTATGGCTGGCATCAAACTCCACAAGATTATGCAACAACCCAATTTCATCAGGAATCGACCCAGAAAACTTGTTCTTCGAAAGTAACAAACTTGACATATTATATGCACCATAAATAGCATTAGAAATGTTCCCAGATAGAGAATTGTCCATAAGCTCAAGATAAAACAAATGGGGCAAACCCCATAAAGCATAAGGAACCACACCAGAGAGCTTATTGTTCTTAAGCCGAATCCTCCTTAAGCTCTTGCAATTCCCAAGACTCTCTGGAATTTCCCCGGAAAATGAACCATTAATCATAATGAGTACCTCAAGCTTCCCTTGACGGCACAGGTTCGCCGGAATCTCGCCGGAAAACTGAGTATACGAAATATCAATAATCTCCAGCGGCGAGTTACTCCCCAAATCACTCGGCAACGTTCCAACGAGGTTGTTGTTGAACAATTTGAGTTCAGAGAGTTTCTCCGAACGAGCTATGCTTTCAGGCAACGACCCTTCAAGCTTGTTAAGGTACAAGTTGAGCGACGCAAGCTGCAACTCGCACAACTCAGCAGGAATCGTCCCAGTCAACTCGTTCATCGACGCGTCAAACATTTCCAACCGGGTCAGGTTCGAAAAACCAGCGGGTAACTCGCCAGAGAGCGAGTTACTATAAAGCTCAATCTGAATCACGCTCTTCAACCCAGAAAACGATTCGGGTATTGTTCCAGTGAGGTTGTTCACAGAGAGATCAAGCACGGTGAGACGAGCGAGGTTACCGAGTGAGGTTGGAATGGGACCCACGAGATTGCATTCTCTGAGCCACAGGTTCTCGAGGTTGGTGAGGTTACCGAGTTGACTAGGTATTGGACCCGGGGTGAACGGGTTGTAAGCGAGTTGAAGCTCCTTTAACGTTGAGATGTTCCCAAGAGAACTGGGTATAGTTCCTTCGAGGAGGTTATAGACGATGTGAAGAGATTCGAGTTGCGGGAGCTGGCCGAGGCTCGCCGGAATGTCGCCGGAGAAGTTGTTGTAGGAGAGGTCGAGGCTGCGTAGGGTGGTGATTTGGGAGAGGGTGTCGGGGATGGGTCCGACGAGGTTGTTCATGGAGAGGTCGAGGTGGCGGAGGCTGCGGAAGCCGGCGATAGCGACGGCGGGGAGGGTGGAGTTGATGTAGTTGTTGGAGAGGGAGAGAGAGGTGAGAGATTGGAGGCGGCAGAGGGAGCTGGGGAAGGGGCCGGAGAGGCCGGCGAATGAGAGGTTGACGGCGGTGACGGCGCCGGTGAGGTTGTTGCAGGTGACGCCGCTCCACCGGCACGGCGTGGCGTCGGCGCTGTTCCAGGTGGTGAGATAGTTGTTGGGGTCGGAGAGCTGCTGCCTGGCGCGGAGGAGGAATAGGCCGTCTTGGTTTAGAGAGAGAGTAAGTAAAGGTGGAGAGAGAAAGAAGAGGAAGAAGAGAAGGAAGAGAAGCATTATTGGAACTGAAACTGTGAAGGTTTTGGTACTTTGTTTTTTCAGTTTTGGCTCAGTTAATGTTAGTGACAATGTCGGATATGTAAGAAATGAAGAAAGAGAGTGGGAAGAATAGATGTGGGTCCCACGGATGTTCTCGTGTGAAAAAGTGATTATGTGATCATGTTATTTGATCAAAATCACTCATCATTGATGATGAGATAAGAGAAAGAAAAGTGCATATAATTTTTAAACAAGTGATTATAATCAAATAACATTACCATATAACAACTTTTTTACCACTCCGGGTCCCACCATGTCTCTGTTTGTTTTTGCTTGTTTTCCTTGGTACTTGTTCTTTTAAAGCTTGAGGGTTACTATTTGTATATGGAGAGGTACACTCAAGAAAGCGCACACACGAGACTTCACCATGCTCAACGCTATTTATGTTGGATTTGGATCATCAACGTCTGAAAAAATAGTTATACCACGATATTATTTGATTATAATTCCTTATTTAAAAAATATTTTTTTTATTTTATCATAAATAAATAGCTGTGATTAAATAATATGAGTACATGATCAATTTTCCACATAAAAAAATCCAAAATCATCTTTGTTCCACTCTTCACATTCTTCATGCATTGTTGGGTTTATTAACAACGTTGCTCTAGAGAATTTCAGTTCACGATTCTTAGTTGTGCTGTTGCTTCTATTTTTCTGTAAATTATAATTAATGATTTTAATTCAACTTTTTCCCAAGAATTCAGGTTCACGATTTTTTAAAAAGCACAAGAAAGTAAAAACTTTAAGCTGTAAAAGCGGGCAACTTTCCGAGTTTTCAGCATGTACATTTTACTTATTCTCGAGTTTCAATCATGTTGAACGTGGGTTGCTTGAAGATGTTATGACATAAATACCCGAGGGTACAATTTCGGGTTAAAATTTAAAATAATTTTATTAAATTTGGCGTATTGTTGAAGTGTCAACCAGATGGTAAATGAATCATGGATCTTGGGGCTTTTGATTTAACTGGATTTACATATTTAAAATTGGTTGTTAGAATGAAGTTTGAATTTATATAAAAGTTTGTTTAACAAAAAGGTCTTATGTTCTAATTCAAAAGTCCAGCCTTAAGACTTTTAAGGCTGACCTAATATACTAATTTTTATTTTTATTTTTGTTATGTCTTTGAGACAGAGATGTCTAGCCCAATAGGCTAGTATGTTGATATCGAATCTAGTGTCCTCTCCAAGGTATCTATAACGGAGATACCCTTGAGTCAAGCAGATCACTGTGCACAAAATACTATAATGGCGTTAGCCAATGGAGTGTGTGTGCGCACAGTGACAGCATAACAGTAAGAGAGAGAGCGTACGTACCTTGTAAGAACTCGCACCGTTAATTAAGGAAGTTAATTAATTAATTATGTGAGATTAGGAAAGAATTCCATAATTGACCCTAATAATTATTACGAGGCTTAAATAAACATAGAAAGTGATTAATAATGCTGAAAGTCTCTTTTCTGACGAAAAGTGCAGATACTGGTTCTGCTACTCGGTATAAATGCGTACCGGTAAAGTATCCCAAAAGATTATAATAAGTGCATGGATATTTCTAGAATAATATATAGAACTTGTAAAATAAGTTTAAAGTCAAAATAATGAGAATTGAAGTCGGAACTAATAATGTCAGTGTTAAAACGCGTACCGAAAAAGTATTGCGAAAAATTAATATAAAAATATGTCAAATCCTAGAAAAATGGCTAGGTTCAGAATATGAAGTTTGAGATTAAAATGATAAGCGTAGCTATTAACGCTAATACTGCGTGATTAACTTAAGTGGCCTATAAATGGGATTTTTGAGCCCAAAACCCTAGGCACTATTTTCTCCTTCGTGAATAGTGGCTTATCAGCTCTTACTCCCACTGTTCTATTGCCTCCCTCTACCATTCCTTAGCCATTTCTTCTTGAACTCTACCAAAGTGACCTCCTTTGTTCTTGATTCCTTCATCAACTTAGTTGAGTGTGGTGAGAACAAGCCTTGTGGGGGTGAAAGGTCCTTGGTTGCTGAGTTTAACTTCTGGTTTGTGGGTTTTTGTGGGCTGAGTTGGTGAGTTTTCATTGGAAAGGCCATGGTTATGGTATTTGGTGCTTCAAAGTGTAATCTTTGAAGAGAAAGGTCCAACCTTGGGGTGTATTTTCGTGCTCTTGCAAAGTCAGAATCTTTGAGCCTTGTTGGAGAGCTCCAAGAGCCTTCTTTTTGCTGAGTTTGAACCTCTATTGGTATACCTTGAAATTTCCTTTGAATTTTCATGAAACTGGCTTGTTTATGTTATGAAATGAGTTAACTTTAATCATTCAAGCTTAGGGTTGTTATCCTCAGAAGTCTCTCGTGTTCTCCTGGACCTTACCATGACTCTGCACAAGTTACACAAATTATGAGTTGATCAGGCCCATGCAATGTGATTACATATGCATTATCATAGTAAAATTTGACGGAGTAAACACACAAGACAGACACAGCAAAACATCCTAGCTATTGCCATACATACATGCTTTTCCCTCGAACCATTGCTCTGATACCATAAATGTAACACCTCGTATATCCGGTAATGTTATCATACTATCATATTAAGCTGCGCTTAATTAAAAATGCGGAATATCTTTTTCTTTTCAATTATGAAGTCAATATCATTACCAACTTGTTTATTAAACAATTAATAAAACATCGTCCGTATGCAATTGCAATAAAACAGCTAACTGAAATACCTCATTAATTAAAATAACATAATATATGTCTCTAGTCACGGAACTACAACACGTAGATCGGACCAACTAGCAGTTTATACAACTCGACTCAAAAGTACTAACAACATAGTGGCATGGACAACTCTCATGCTTACCCAAATAAGGCAGCAATGCCCAACATAAGTCTCAACTCAAAACATAAGGAGCAGAAAATATAAACAGCATCCAATCCAGTCATGTCAGCAATACAGCATAAATATCATAATCAGCTAAGCTCTGGCCTCCTGTCGCCAGAGGCATCAGTCACCATACTACCTGAACCTGAAATAAGCATTTCCCAAACGAGGGTGAGATCTCTAAACAAGAAATCTCAGTAAGACAAGGGGTCATCAAGGATCTTCCACCCCAAACTCACTTACATGTGCAATATAAGTTTAAAAAGCAGTTCATCAATATCATTTCTAAAACAGTGCAATGCAGCAGATAATCATGTCATGTGTGTCAATTCTATTCTACTGACCAAAGAAGTGCAGGAATACGTCTATTACCCACACATAGTGCAAGATGCTACTTGCATCCACCCCGGACCACCGTATTGTATGACGCCACATACTCAAGCTCCCCGTCAAGATGGAACAACACATACATATTAAAAGCCATTACACATAAAGCTCAACAGCATATCAAATATCCAAAAGCATGTAACACAGCATGCATATAACCATGCCCCTATGGGACATGGTGGGACCACAACATGGCTAAACCGAGGACACGAAAGCTTACCTTGTAAACCAGCTATCCAATACCAAGAGTCCACAAGCTCAAAGTCCAAACACAGCAGAATCACAATCTGTTATGGACCAATACTATATTAACAATCATATTCTACAAGCATACAACATAAAGACAACGCATTTCCTTAACGTTTTACGTCTTAAGGCTCCAAACCAAGCCATAAGCCCTTAATCACTTGATTCTGACTTAGTTCATTAATTACAGAAGTTCAACTTCATTAATCTAAGGTCCACAAACCCCCAATAGCCTACTGGATGAACAGTACAGCTATTGTTCTTCAAAATCCCAGAATATCCGGATATTCCTCGGGGACATATCCGGATATGCAATATCCGGATATCTCACAGACAATATCCAGATATCCAATATCCGGATATCACTCTGGCAATATCCGGATATCTATATCCGGATACCCAGATCCCCATATACGGATATCAATGTCCGGATACCGATATCCGGATATCAATATCCAGATATTCCACGGCAAATATTCGGATATTTCGCGACAGAATGTAGTTTCTGCATTTCGCGAAGATATCCTTCCAAGGTTCCATTTTTAACACTTCCAGAAGCTTAAACATGCATCTTAAAGTTCGTTGAGGTTCATATGACAATTGGTTACTTGTTTAATTCATTAAACATGCCAAGACTTCATCTTTAAGCAACAAAACTCAAGACTAAGGTTGGTACAACTCACCAAGGTTCAAAACAGAGGCAAAGGGCTGCTCTTGGAGCTCACACAACAGCTCCAAGGTACTGACTTCAAGGGTGCACGAAAATACCACCCAAGCAAGGATCTTTCTTCACAAAGATTGCTCCTTGGAGCTCCAACAACCCAAGGAAGAAGCTCACACACTCACACAAGGCAACTCAGCCTCCACACAGCCACCACACTCAGGGAAAGTGCTCCTTTCACACTCACAATGATCTCTCCCACTCACCTAAGGTACAAAGTGAAGAGAAAATGAAGAAAAGAGGTCACAAGGCTCACAAAATGGTGGTGAAGCAATGGAACAGTGGAACCAGCAGCTGACCAGCCCAACACTCACGTAGAAAATCTGTTTCCTAGGGTTTTGTGCCATCACAAGGGTATTTATAGCCCAATTAAGCCTCAAACACACTGTATTAACTTTAATTGCTACGCTTAGCATTTTAATCCCAAACTCAGGATTCTAAAACTACACAATTTTACAAGAATTATCATGTTTTTCTTATAATTTTCGGAGCACCTTTCCGGTACGCGCTTTTCATAGCCAATACTAGTTTCTGGCATCAGTTCTCATTATTTTGACTTGAAACTCGTTTTACAAGTCCTACATATTATTCTAGTAATTATCATGTACTTATTATAATTTTCCGGGATACTTTTTCGGTACGCATTTATACTGACTAGCAGAACCGGTATCTGCACTTTTCTTCCGAAAAACGACTTTCAGCATTCTTAATCACTTACTATAATTATTAAAGCCTCATAATAATTATTAGGGTCAATTATGGAGTTATTTCCTAATTTCACATA